GTCAGTTTGATAAGTGTTTTGAAACATCTCTCGTACACATAGTAGCCAGTATACATACACGTGGTGCTAGGGAAGCATACAGGATGGTCTCAATTACAATAGGCTGAGGGGATAGATATATTGAAGGGTTTGACACCTGAAGGGGTTACAAATTTTGAGTGGAAGCTAAATGAGAAAGGCAGGGAGCGACATTTCAGACAGAAGGAAGAACAAGCAGTATATGTCAGTAATAGAGACCCAGGCCCACCCAGGAAAGCTCAATCATCACTAACGTGGCAGTGGGCCCACATACACTCTCCTATAATGAGACAAGGACATAGAAGAAAGATTATTACTGGGTAGAGACATCTTTGCATAATCTACATACAAAAAAATGCTAAACCCATGAGTGCCCAAGGTTTGCCCGGAGAACATTCATGAGACTTGATAAGTTACTAAAGATACTTTAGTAAGAGCCATCCAGGTATGGGAAAGAACTCAGACAATGTGAAAAGATGGATGCCAACCCTGGAAGAAGGCACTGAAGAATAAATGGACACGCAGGCAGGATAAGGGAAGCAGGGTGGCAAGGATTTTCCACAGTCTTAGCTGCAAGAGGCTTACCCTGCTACTTTCAGAGTCTAGAAAAACTAGAAAGCAGGTAAGACATTTAGAGAGCTGAATAGGTTAGTCACATGGAAGACATGGTAATGTAGAGAACAAATAATAGAGAGGTATGGGACAGTACCTAGAGAAAACAAGTGCATCCATTGGTGATTTCTTTAAATTCCAGGTATGTGAACATGTTGAAATGCTGCAGGGATTCCAGGCAAGTCAACCTTGAAAATGAGAACAGAACTAAGAGAGAAGGAAATGGGAATGGGGGTTTTTGTTATTCTGAGATATATCTAAAATGAAGTAGAGCATATCAATTGATACAGCCTAACTACTATAACAGCAACAACAAAATCACCCAATAAGATTTATTTCTCTGCAGTCCGATGCACTTTGCAGGGAGAGGAAATCATCAGCACTACATAGATGTTCAGGAACATTGGCCTCCTTTCATCTAGTGGCTCTTCCATTTATTAGATCCTAGGAGTTCTACCATGAATCCTTTACATACTTCCAAAGGGAAAAAGAAAGTTCTAGAAGATCAAGCTAACATTTTCAGTTACTGGAGTCATGCCAGGTAGTGGTTTATCCTACTTCTACCAACATTCTATTAGAGAGAACTCAGTCACATGTGCCCAGTTAACTTCAGTCATGCTGGAATTTGTCATTTAGCTGTGTGCCTGGAAGAAAAGGAAATGGGGTTGGTGAAGCCATAGCACTGTATCTGCTCCGGATAGGTACAGAGTATTATTTAGCTCAGATCAGGGTGAGCATGCCTAAGGCAGTCAAGGACAGAAGATGGGATAGTTCATTTCATAAAAGAATCAATGCTAAAGTAGGCCACATAATTAAAAGCAGAAAAGCATTTTTTCGCAAACAATGATATAAAGTAGTATTGAGATTCATGTCTTTTCTGCAAATCTAAATCCAAGACCAGCTTTAAAAATTGACAGTTTGAGCCAGGGACCTGGTCAGTAATATTTGGGGGAAAGCTCTTCATAGGTGCTAAAGAAAAAAAACAAGAGAAAAAGAGGAAGATAAACCAGATGGCACTAGTCAAAAGGTCACATACATATTGATTGACTCCAATCATTCTTCTCAAAACCTTTTTCCACACATATTCCTCAGAGGAAATGATCATTTAAAATGATTCAAAATCCTTTGGGGATTCCCCTCATCCCCAATGTGATCAGCCCCAGGGTTCACACGGAAATCTATAGAGAGCTTTAGATAGATAGGGCTCTCATCGCCTTAACACAGAAACAGCTCCAGGGACAGCCATGAACACTCACTCCATCTATGGCTGACTTTTCTCTAGGGCAAAGGAGAGACAGAACTGACAAGATGGGTATAAGACCCTCTCTCCTCATCCACCAAAAATAATAGTAAGGTAGCATTGATGGAAAACTCACTGTGTACCAGGTTGTGCTTGTGTGTGTGAACTCACAACTTAATGAAGTGGAAAGTATTATTATTTGTATTTTAAAGATGAGGAAATTGACACCAGGAAAGATTAAGTAACTGACCCACAGGTACCCAGCATATAAATGTTGAAGTAGGGATTAAACCAGTTGGCTTCCAGAGGTTGTGCTTTTGGTGACTGTATTCTGCTTTTGACAATATTGTCTTGTAAAATCAGGCAGGATGGGGTGAATAGTAATAGTTAAATAAAACAATTTGCAAACAATATTTTATGATGAAAATAAAAGATTTTCTACTATTGGCAACCCTCAAGTCGATTAGTCTCTTCCTTACTTTATTATCTTTGTAATTGCCAAAAAGCTACAAAGTATAGATGTATTTTCCTTAGTTTACTTTAGCTACCTTTTTTTCCCCTCAAGCCTCAGAGTCAATGAGTACCCTGCCTTACATTTCCCAGGGTGTTTATTCTTCCTTATAATTACTAAAGCAGTTAGTCTTTTAGCCTGGCAGGAGAGAGGGAATGAAGGTGAGATGCAAAAAGTTTTATATTGATATTTTAAACTTCAGGCACTGTATCTCCAAGCGACGGTATTTTATGTTAGTTATCTTTTAAAGGATTGGAATACTAAACAAAGAGGAGCAGCCTGCTTATTCTGTAACCTGAAGTAGTATAGAATAGAATGGGTAGGTCAGAGCACAGCACATAAGTTGCAAATGTTTGTGCACAAGATTTAATCTTGGGGATGGAGAAAGGCTTAAAAAAAGTTATTCGAGCTCTTCTCAAACATTAATAATGAACTCTTCAGATATCCTCCTCTCAGACATCCATGGAGTCCAGTTTTTAACAAGAACAATAATTCACTTCGTGATCTCTGAAGCCACTTGTTTAGTTCTCTTGACTTCAGGGCCAAAATGAATTGTTTATTACTTATGGCAAGCATAAAAAAGGACATTACAACTGTGATCGGTTCCAAGGATGGCAACTTGTTTTTTAATAACTTAAACATGGACAATGGCCAAATTTCTGAAAAGATATAGGTACATCAAATGTATACAGATGGTCATTTTAAGATTTTTGTTTTCTAGCAATACTTTAACATCTCACTTGATAAATCATTGCATTTTGAAGGCAGTGAGGGTACACAGAGACCTTCAGAAAGCAAACATGAACAGGAGGCTTGGCAGTTTGAAAATATTTAACAGTCTATCAAACAAAAGAAGGGTCAGTCACCATGCAATCTTGGGCCAGTCATCTAACTTCTCTGAAACACCCGTTTTCTCATCTTATCAAACAAGATTTTATACATTCTGCAAACAGTACAGCCTGGTTTAAAACTGGTCCTGGAAGCCGGGCTCGGTGGCTCAGCCTGTAATTCCGCGCCTTGGGAGGCTGAGGTGAGTGGATTGCCTGAGCCTGTGGGTTCAAGACCCACCTGGGCAACTTGGTGAGACCTCATCTCTACAATAAATAAAAAAATTAACCGGGTGTGGTAGCGCGCGCCCGTAGTTCCAGCTACTTGGAAGGCTGAGGCGGAAGGATCACCAGAGCCCAGCAGGTTGAGGCTACGATGGCTGGGAGCAGCCACTGCACTCCAGTCTGGGCGACAGAGTGAGACTCCAACTCAAAAAAAAAAAAAAAAGACTGGTCCTGGAATCCCCTAGTCCTCGGATATACTGCTAGCATTGTTTTGGATCCTCGTTTCTTTGCTATAATTTGGATATTAGTGACTACCCTGCATAGGCATGAAAATTAAATTGCTTATATCTCTTAGCACAGTGTCTGACCACCTGTAAGTAGTCAATACACTGACTATTTTCATTTTTTTATATAACTAACAGAGCCCATTGATGCCCAGCATTGGGATAGAAGACAAGAATATAAAGTTGTGTAGAGCCTAAACCTATTCTCTAGGAGTTCACTCTGTAAGGAGGAGGTGGGGGCACAAACGGGAAGCATCAAATTCTCCCTTAAGAGAGAAAAGAGGCTTCATTTAAAAAGCTGCTGGAGCCCCATCTTAAAGATAATAGCGTTGGGACCAGAACCAGATGTCTAAGAACTCTTTGAGGCTTAACGTTAGGGGCTTTTGAAACTATTTGTCTAGAATTCCGTACGAGAGTTATCTTTCAGCATCCAAAATCCAGAGCACATTCATTAACTTTCTATACAGAAATACAGTCATTAATTCCTGCTGGACACCATTTTCTCACAAAACAAAACCAAAAAACCCTTAGCAATAACAATTCTGGGGGCTGGTAAACACTTTTATGTCCTACTATCTGCATTTGTGATGCACCCTTCTCATGGAGAGAAAACAGGAGAGCAAAATCATAGGCACAGCCAGGTAAGGGGCCGACCCAGGTTCAGACTTTTGGGTCGCACTTGACACTATGCTCCTTTTAAACTAGGCGCCAGCTCAGGGTCAGCAGGAGAGGAGCCGAACGTTACAGGAGCAAATTCAAAGGCGTCTCTGCCCGGCAAGAAGAGGGTCTTGGGGCCAAGGACCAGCGCAGGAGCTGTCCGAAACCAAGGCTCCAGGGGTCCCAGCAGGACGCCAGGCGCACTCCTCGGATAATGTTTCTCCTTCCCCCGGCCGCCCGCAGTGCCCGGACAACGTTGGGGTTTCTCCTCCACCCCCAGATTCAGCTTCACTGTTGGAGTCTGTCCTCCCGGAACACGGAACGCGGGCGTCCTGTGTTCTCAGTCACAATCAGCTCGAAGGAGCTCGGGGGCGCGAACGCCAGCGTGCAGCAGCGAGGCGCAGAAGCGCCGCGCCCCTCGCGCGCTCCCCGCCGGTGCCCACACCTCCGCTCCCGGGGGCGGTGCGCTTTCGGGTGTGCGGAGGACGGGGCGGGGCGAGGCGGGAGCACTGGAGACCCGCCCTGCTCCCCTCCCCCTCCGGCAGAGATTGACAGGGTCCGGGCTCCCTCCCCAACCAATGAGCGCGCCCTGGGGCGGGCCCTGGAACCCGGCTGCTCGAGCTACTTAGAGTCGTCGGCGCGGCTGTAAGAAAGCAGAGCCCAGCCGGGACTGTCCAGGTGCAGCAGGCGCCGGGCCATCGCGGACCCCGAGGCGCACCGGCGCCGCACCGCACAGTTCGGTGCAGGGCAGAGCGGAGCCGCAGCCCCACGCGCCGCCCGGGACCCACTCGCCGCCGTCGCTTCCGCATCACCCATGGGGACCAGGAGACTTTAAAGGAGTTTGGGGTTTCGGGAGCAGGGAAATCACGGGTACGGAGCAGCGGCTTTCTCTATCTTGGAAACGGTTTTCTTCATCGGATTGTTTGGATCCTGTGCTTGGTAGGCGGGAGAGGGGTCGTTCGGCTGAAAGTGGACCTCTCCACACACACCCACCCACCCACACCCACGCCTACACTCGTACACTGCACTGGCTTCCCTCATCCTCCCCCTGCCTCTTTGTTAGGTTATTTTAGACTGAGCAGCCTCGCCCTGGCGCAGTCCGATTGGCTTTGCTGGGGAGAAGTAAGGGGCAGAGTGCACCTGCCTGTGTGGGCAGGTGTGCCCGGGTGCTGGGCGTACGTGCATCGGCGAGCGTGCAAGCGTGGGACTGGAATTGTGTACGAGGGTGGGGGGTCTAAGTGTGTCGTCGCGAAGGTTTGTCATTGTGGGTGTATGTGACATTATACACCAGTGTACCAGCCTGCCAGCGTCTGGACTCTTGAGCGTGCAAAATGTTGCTGGTGTCAAGTGAATGCCTACGAATGTGTCCCATTGTCATTGTGGAGCCTCTGTCAGAGGAGGCGGGCGACATAGTGCAAAACTGAGAGGTGGGCAAGAGAGGGTGGGGACAGAAATGTGAGCGCAGCCTGCTCCGAGCTCTCAGGCCTTGGGCTTCCTTCTCGCTTCCAGCCCAGCCCTCTGTCCTTCCTCTCCTGGGGGTCTCTGTCTCACATGCTGCCACAACCGGCGCGCTCCTCCTCACTGGGACCCTGCACGCTCTCCAGCCAGTCTGCCTTTTCTCTTGTGGGAGTTGGAACGGGTTCCCGGACAGGGTTAGAGGCTGCGTGGCGGCGTCCGCTCTCGTCTGCCGAACTGGCGGCTTCTTCGCCGCGGCTCCTGCCCCGGGGAGGCACGGGGGACTCGGCTGGCGCAGGTGACCCCGGTGCGGGCGCGTGGGCGAGCGGGCAGGTTCCAGGGGGCACTGCACGTCTTGGGGAGGGACGCCGGGAGCGGCACCCCCACTCTGACGGTGCCTCTGCCTCTGTGCTTCCGCAGATCCCCGCTCCTGGCCCTCGCCTCGCCGCGTCATTGATGGGCAACCAACTGGACCGCATCACCCACCTCAACTACAGCGAGTTGCCCACAGGGGACCCGTCGGGAATCGAGAAGGACGAGCTGCGAGTCGGGGTCGCCTACTTCTTCTCGGATGAGGAGGAGGACCTGGACGAACGCGGGCAGCCCGACAAGTTTGGCGTGAAGGCCCCCCCGGGCTGCACCCCCTGCCCAGAGAGTCCCAGCCGCCACCGCCACCACCTGCTGCACCAGCTGGTCCTCAACGAGACTCAGTTTTCCGCCTTTCGGGGCCAGGAATGCATCTTTTCCAAAGTGAGCGGCGGCCCTCAGGGCGCCGACCTGAGCGTGTACGCGGTCACCGCGCTGCCTGCGCTCTGCGAGCCAGGCGACCTGCTGGAGCTGCTGTGGCTGCAGCCCGCGCCGGAGCCGCCGGCGCCCGCCCCGCACTGGGCCGTCTACGTGGGCGGCGGGCAGATCATCCACCTGCACCAAGGCGAGATCCGCCAGGACAGCCTGTACGAGGCGGGCGCGGCCAACGTGGGCCGGGTGGTGAATAGCTGGTACCGCTACCGCCCGCTGGTGGCCGAGCTGGTGGTGCAGAACGCCTGCGGCCACCTGGGCCTCAAGAGCGAGGAGATCTGCTGGACGAACTCGGAGAGCTTCGCCGCCTGGTGCCGCTTTGGCAAGCGGGAGTTCAAGGCGGGAGGGGAGGTGCCGGCCGGCACGCAGCCCCCGCAGCAGCAGTACTATCTCAAGGTGCACCTGGGGGAGAACAAAGTTCACACTGCCAGGTTTCACAGCCTGGAAGACCTCATCCGTGAGAAGCGCCGCATCGACGCCAGCGGCCGCCTGCGAGTGCTCCAGGAGCTCGCCGACCTCGTGGACGACAAGGAGTAGCCGCGGAGGGGCTGCTCGCCCCGCCTGTCTCCCCGCACCCCGCTCCCTTCCCGTCCCCGCACCCGGGCTTCGCGGCCGGCGATTCTCGACCCCCGCCCCCTAGCGCGTCCGCCGCGGGTGGCCGGTGCCCAGGCTGCGCCCCGCACCTCTCTCCGGCAAGTGTCAGGAAAGTCTCAGGAATGGACCCCGGGGCTGAAAGGGCGCAGCTGCGCGCGCCTGGCTGAGCACCCCAAGGGCGGTGACGGTGTCGGGGCACCCTGCGTGTGCTTTTCCCTTGAGCTGTAAGGAGGGGGCGAGAGGAATGGGCTGAGGGTAGCAAGGACACGGCCTCCCCCGCGAGTCAGTGGTCAGTGACTATGACAAGGCAGGGAAACTACTCTTTTCTAAGAAGGGACCATCAGCGCCTCAAACGTGCACACACAGACCGGTCAGAGGCGAGAATTGGTCTTTTCAGGGGCACAGTTCAGCTCCCGTATGGATGTGTCCCCAGATCGCGGGATTTCCAAGAAATTGAGCCCCCTTGTGCACTTGTGAATAATTCCACAAGAGAGCATTTCGGGACTCCGGGTTATCCCGAGGCTGCCCAGGACATTTCCAGCTCTCCAACCCTGGTTCTTTTGACATTGTGTTCCAGGCTCTGGGCTAAGCTAGAGAGTGTTTGCTTCCCATTCTTTCCACCGAGGGAAGCGAACGCCACCCCCACCCGCATTTGCCTGTGAGACTCCCTCGTTGGTAGAAGGGAAGCCTTCCCGGTCCCGGGAGGAAAATGGCGCAGCTAATTTGGTGAGGACAGCCGGCCCCGCCCCCGGAAAGGAGATAGTTCACCTGGTGTCTGGGAACTTGAACTTGTTGAAGAAGGGTGCTTATTGTTCTGAACATTTGATTGCTCCCTCCTCGGGCTGCATTTCAAAAACAGTCATATTTTAAAGGGATTGAAGGAGAGGGAAGGGGAGGACATGGCAACATTCCAGAAACCAGCATTATTACAACACCATAGCCAGTATATTTAGTTTGGCTTTTCCTAACATAGAAATCTTAGAAGGTGGGGAAGTGGAAATAAAGTTTTAAAAATGAGAGAGCAGTTTTCCAACTATGTCAACAAAGCCTATCGTGTTGATGTTTTATTGACCATTTTATCAACATGCTAATAAAATTTCAAATTGAAATTTTTATTTTCATGGCTTTAATCCATGATAGCTTAAATACTGGGGGCCATTAAGAGTGGATGTAGCTAAGAGCTTAGCTAACATTGACTTTTCACACTATTTTTCTCAACTCTTATGAGAATTCTGTTTTTGGATATCGTAGTTCATTTTTTGGCATACAACAGCAGCCCTAGTAATAGTGGAGTTGTTAATGTGTATATTGTACTGAAGTTCTGTCAGTTAAAGGGTTTACTGTTTTGGTGGAAATTGCAGGTTCCATGATGTTTCTTTTCTCCATGTTTTATATCATTGCCATTTCACATTTGCATTTCTATTTTTCTTCCTCTCCTCCTGATCTTCTTAGAAATGAATCTAGAATTGGTGGCTTTTCCCCCCTCCTCTTTAGCCAGTCCCACAGTTCAGTTCTTCCTGAAAACAGTGAAGAACTTGAAGGATCAGGACAAACGTGTGTTATGCAGGAAAAATAAGGCTGGTTGAAACCCCTTCCTTGGGCAAAGATTACAAACTTCTCTCCTCATCCGCAATCCCAGCCTGAATGATTGTTATTTGATTCCGTGTGTTAGACACCTATATCATCTATGTCTCTTTCAAGGGGATTTGTCAAATAATGCTGTTTAGCTAATTGTTGCTAGCAATTGCATATTGATAGCTGTGATTTAGTTGGACAGCAAATATTATGGCCAAAGCCAGTTTCTTGGCATTTCAAAAACAATGCAATAAAAACTACTTGAGGTTAGCTGAGACTGGAAATGCCTTTTTCATGGTTAATGACTCATTTCTATTTTGGATGTTTTGGCTTTTTATTGTTTATTTTTTAATTTGTATTTGTTGGTTTTCATCCTGGATTCATTTCCTGATCTTGAGTCAAAAAGTCAGATCAATGAAATATGAACTAAAGTATTTTTCTTAAGCCTATTGAGTGATTTATTTTTTAAAAAAATGTTTAATGCATATGCTTTTCTTTCAGCACAAACAGCAAAACTTTTGTAATAATTAACTTACCTTTGCATGTATGGAGAACTGAAAGTCATTTATTTCCCTAACTTGTTCCTCTTTCGAATAACAGATGGCAGATCATAAACTGAAATTCTTTATTGTATCTACACACTCCACATTCTTTACTGTGTCCTACTACTGTATCTTGGCTCCCTGCTGTATTAAACATCATCTTAAGTACTTGTTCCTACAGGACTCCTTCTTGACATTTTGTCTTCCTCCTCGAAGTCACTCAAGGGGTGGGACTTCTTCAAAAGGAAGGAATCAGTCTCTATCACACCCAATAGCAAGATTCATTTCCTCTGATGGCACATAGTCTGATTTCTGTCTTACTAAGAGGGTCACTCTAATAGAGGAATAGCTTATCAGTTTTATACTTGCTGAGACTAAACTGGCAATAAAAATAATACGACAGGTAAAGTAGCATTCATTACTATATTGGTCTATTAAGATTGGGTTGATGATAATACATCTGCAAATTCGCAATAATAAAACACTGCTTACAAAAGGAACTTGAAAGGTTTGTAGGACTACTCATATTCCAGTTGAAATAATCATTTATTATCTCTTGGTCAATGTTAATAATAGCCAGTGGCAGAATGAGTATAATAATAGTTCATCATGGAGAGGATATTATCAAGATATTATCTAAGGGCTTTATCCTGAAAAGGTGTTTGTGTTTAGAGTTTTATTAACGATGTGGGTGAAACCAAGGCAGTGGAAATTCTCCTTGTAGGTAGTACGGGCACGCTTGCTTTTTATTATGAGCAAATGTAATCTTTCTGGATTGTATCAGATTTGTAGAAATGAAGCCAAAAGCTTCCTCACATTTTAGTAGGGGTCAGGAATTTAGTTTGGGTTTTAGTTGTCCTCAAGGAACCACAGTGTCATCATAAATTCTATGATGTTGATTGTGGCTCAGCTGGAGATTGGTTCTGTTCAGCCTGCCCCAGCACAGAGGAAAGCCATCATAATATTGCATTCTTGCTCCACTTTCAGATGATTCTGGAAAGCAAAATACCACTAACAAACAAACAAAAGAGAAAGAATGAATTACATGTACTTCAAAAAGTGCTTTGCTACACATTTTATTTAAAAAATAAAAAGGAGAGCTAAGTATAATTCAAACAAAATCAGTTCTAGTTCTAGCATGCTGTATTCTTTCTTTTAAAATAATCCTGTAGCAATAACAAATGCTGCATTTATTTATTTTATAAATCAAAAGTATATACAAGTCAAATCGATATGTATAAAGTGTTCCTCAATATTTAAAAATTTAAGTCCTTGTCACGACAGTATTTTATTAAAAGGAAGAATAATATATATTAATTTATAGTCAGAAAACACTCGTGCCAGATTAGAACATCAAACACAGAATTAGTTGCATGATGTTACTAGAAAAAAACTCTTATGTTTACCTTGTCCTGTGTGTCATGTTTTTGTGGTACACACTTATGATTAAACAATGGCTTTCTATTTTCATTTTGGAAATGTATGCTGTTGGTGCTTACCAAAAAAATGAATTACCTGAATAATCAGTATATCCTATCAGTCTGTGAACATCACTTTATTGATTATATATGTTTTGTGGTGTGCTTCCAACATTTCTAGGAGTTAATTGTCTTAGTCATCTAATAAATGAGGCAGGGGTAAATTTCAATGACATTAATACTAATTGCACAATCATAAAAGAGCAACCTAATTTTCTTTTATCCACATGCATGTCTTCAAAGATTTCTGCTCTCTCTTTCTTAAACAAATGAAAATAATTGAGTTAGTGTTTGCCTTTCAGAGATAATTTGCCACATGCACAAAGGATTGGCAGGTGAAAAGACAGGCTTCCAGATTTCTTGAAATATTAAGAGCTGAATTTGGATAATTATTATCTAAGACCCAAGTCAATTTATTTTTGTTGAAAATTCCTAGCTATTGGTAAAAGATACATATATATGTATACATATATATACATTGACTTATGTAAAAATATATGTAAGGTACATGTGTACACATGTATACACATTTATATATAATATGTGTACATAAATAAAGGTACACATGTGCATCTCTGCCCACAGCTAGTGATTATTTCATTCAGATATATATAGACACAGAGCAAGTAATTAGTTCATCCATATATATGTAGACACACACACACACACAAACAAGCAGACTATTAAGAAACAAAATGGAGAGTAACTTGAGATATATGAAAACAGAAGGAAAAGATCTAGGGGTCATATATCTAATAACCAACTGGACAACAAACAGCTTTACCTAAAACTAAGCATCAACAAAAAGAAGAAAATATGAGAACTGTGCAATTGGTTTTATTCTCATTTTCAGAAAAATTCATTTCTGGTGTCTCTAACTAAAAAGGCAAAATTCAAAGGAAAGCTGGAAAGATTAGGAAGTAATTGAAAAATAAGAAGGCAGATGAAGAGGAAAGGTTGTGAGGTGATCTAATGAGCTCATAAGCTTTTCAACAGGGGATCCCTGTTCTCCGTTCTGACTGAAGACAGTAAAGCTAAGATTCCATTTTTTAAATCATTTAATAATTTATAAAATCCCCTTGATTTCAGAACTCAAAGCTTATCTTTCAGGTTGTATGTTCACCTCATTTGAACTTGCAATAGAAGAGGTTTAAGTATTTGAATATGTTAGGAATAAAGAAAAAATAGTCTTCTCTGCCTTGTCACTGAGGGTGAGTCTTATAATTACTTCTTTCATTGGTGGAACACCCAAATAAATGGTTCCCCATGCTGAGAGTTTTTATCAATCTCTCAGATGGTTGATAGAAAAAGGCACACAGTAGGTGCTCTGTAAATATAAGCCTAGAGCAGCTTTTAAGCACAAGTGTTTCTCATCAGTTCTTGGTTACCAGGAAAATCAGAAAGCCCACCACCTGGCTTGTTTATAAAGGAGAACCTAAAGAACTTTCTTAAACTTAAACTGACAGGGTTTTCCCACCTCAGGAAGTTTATGGAAATGCACTTTATCAGGCTTAAGACTGATTTCAGTTAAAAGGTATTCAGAATAATTGATTGACTTCTAGGGAAAAAAACTATCAAAGAATCCAGGAAAAACTTTAAAAATGTACTCTAGTTATTTGGTCAGAAAGGGAAGAGCAAACAAATATTTCTGACTTTAACTTCTCACAACTTCATCTTTCATTCACCTCAAGGACAGAGTTTTCTTGCATGAAATCACAAGATTACTCCTTCAGAATGAAGCTTATTATTGTAGCTCTTGCTAAAAATTTTCTTCGGTATGTAGAAATAGACTTACTAGAATATGCACTTAACTCTGGGAAAATTGGATTCGATGGAGTTTGGTCATGGGTATTTTTCTAAATAAACATTACTCATTTATATATTAAAATACTAAAATAATTTTCATGCCCTTTGGCTTTTATATAGCATTTTTTATGTGAGCATGATGTCTGAACTTATTTTATTGTGCAATATTAAGGATAAATAGAGCCAATGTCCTGAACTTCAAGCACACAATGAATACTTCAAAAGTTAAGTTAATCTTCATTCAATGTTTTAAATAATAGAAAAAGATTCCATAAGGCTACTGCTTGTCTGCTTCCTAACATAATTCTTTCCATCAATGTGTGATATAAATATTAATATAATAATTTCTCAATGGGAAACTTGAGGGCTTCTTTATTATAAATATACTGATGTTTGCTTTAGCAAATAAGTTACTATTCTAAAGTAGTCATTCCTCCAGCAGTCCTGTAAGATGCCAGTTCTTTGCTCACCGCAAAGCCCTCTGTTTGCAAATTTCAGATTCTGCGAGGGGGTGAGCGGATCTAGGGGGAATCATACTAAGGATGACGTTATAAAACATCTCTCAACTCCCAATAGCACACATTTTATTTTTTCCTACATTTTGCTTCTTGGTGAATGTGTCTACCCAAGGAATTTGAGCCAGAGGGAGGCAAGGCTCAGGGGTAGGGATACCAGACTTACCAAATAAAAATACAGGAAGCTCAGCTACATTTGAATTTCAGGTAAACTATTATTAGTTTTAGGATAAATATGTTCTATGCACTATTTAGGATACTTATACTAAAATTTATCTGAAAGTCAAATGTAACTGTATGTTCAGTATATTTTCTGACAACCCTACTTAGAATTTTACCATCTCTGAGAAGTCATGGAGCCCCCTATTTTTTAGAGCAGACAAACTAAGGACACATCCCCTACCCATAGTACTGAGGTCTCGTCAGATTGTGTGTCTTTTAAGGCCAAAGCCAGATTCAGGCCCAGAAATGAGCACATAGGAGAAACCTCAGAAGGAAGAGTTCACAGGCTCTGTAATCAGTGAGAGAGAGTTGTGGGTGGGGATGGGTGGGTGTTTCATGGGTCTGTCTCTATTATTGTAGCCTTTTGATTATAGGACACACCATCTTTTATCTGGGGATATGGTGAATACTTTCCTAAGCACAGTCAGAAGTATGCTATGCTATTGTCTTTAACTTCACCTGCTCTTTATCTCAGTCTAGACCTCACACTTTCTACCTTTCTATTCCTATAGATTCTTCATCTGTCTCTACCCCTCTAGCTCCTCTACTGAAACACCTACAATCATAGTGATCTTTCTAACTACAGAGTCATCACTCACAAGTCAAAGATCAAGATTCTTAGTGCATCAGTCTGGGTTCTCCATGGTCTGACCCCTGTCTTCACCCACTTGCCTTTCCTTCAACTCTCGTCTTAGACTCAGGTCACATAGGATTTTCTGTAGAACATGTAGTTTTCATTCATGTTTCCATGACTCTCTACGTTGTCCTCTTTACCCGATTGCCATTCTTGAATCCTGAATGGCAAACCTTTATTCATCCATCCTTCATGGCCAATCTCGTGCTAGCTCCTAGCATGGTTTTAGTCATTTTATTTTGTAGTTGCGATTGTACTTTCTTTACACCACCCTTAGGCTCTCTCACCTCTACTATAAGTATTTTTTACATGTCTTTCTCTAGGTCTGTTGGAGAAATCTCTGTGACTTACTTTTCTTGAGGCTGCAAAGTCTAGCACTTGCAATAAGTACTCAGTTAGAGTCTATTTAATGAATAGAAAAACTGGGGGGATAGGAATTGCCTTCCGAGTATGTGAGGCATACTTCCCATGATCTTTTTCTGAGGTAGAACATGGTAAGAGTGGGCTAACAGT